TATGTTCAAAGTTCAGGGTTTTAGAAATTTTTATAACGTTCAGTGACAAGTAACATAATTAACTATTGACACGATAGTACACTAGGATTAGTTTTTCTCTTTTATGTTCTAATTTTCGAATGTGCAATGCACGTAATCAGCACGAACTTGTTACAATATGCTACAAGTTCTGTTTGTTATTGTTATGCTTTCTGAACGACAAAGTAATAGATCCTCTATTCCGTGTATGATTTTACGGAAGGGAATATTGTGTTAGCATTGAAAGGTCAAATGAATACTTCATACATATGCAAAATCAGTCAACTGCTTCGAAAGAAAATGTCGATGAAAACAACATGCATATTAAATATGACAAGCTCTATTCTGTGCAATGCACATTAAATATATTAGAAAATGACAAGCTCATAATAACAACATGCATAAAGAACTTGAGAAACAAGATATGCTAAAGAAAAAATGGGAAGAGAAAATGAGGGAAGAAATTGAGTGGCAAAATCATGTAAGATGGAAGGAAGATAGAGCTAACAGACGATTAGCATATATAACCTCCGTGGCATGGACACTTCAATTAGAATCGTGTGTTTTTGTCGGACATATGTCAGATACTGACAGTTCTTGAACACTCCACCACGGTAATGTTTTTCTTTATAATAAATATTATTTATTTTTTACTTAAATTTTTTTATTCAATAACAAATAGGTACTCATATTTAAAAATTTTCGAAAATAAAAATTAATGACAAGTATAAAACTGAATTTATACTATATAAATAAAGAATTTTAAAGAATATAATCAACGTGTCAAGTTAGCAGTTTTTTGAAAAATCTCATATTGGCATGATTGACACTTATCGTGTCCAATACACGTGTCAGTGTTGGTGCTACATAATCTAGAACTGATTGAGTTAGCTCCTTCAAAAACTACCTTCAATTGTTTCTCTTGATTATGATAACATGCATGCAAAATCTCAGTCATTTCCAGAAGATTTGTGTCCATTTACTCCGAAGGCATTGAGAGTGAAGAATATATTTCCTATCTTTGGCCTTGTAATGTTTATTATTTAGTCCAATCTTTCCATGACTATGACTTAAAGACGCCTGGTATGTTACACATTTCTCTTCTAAAACTAACCGTAAAAGATATTGAAGATGTTGTGGGCCTTGAACAAATCAATATGGTGATGTCAATCCTGAAGGTGTACATCCTCAGCATTCAAAACTGGCTGAAGCACTTAAATCTGCTGACATGTTCTGAAATCTTCTGAAGATATAGCATTCACTTTGGGAAAAATTGTAGCCGAGGTACCAAACCTTTCGTTTATTAGCAGACTTTGCCCAAACCTTTAGTTTGTGCCACCGGAGGTACCAAACCTTTCAAAAATTTTCACCCGAAGTCCAAATGGATGAAACCGTCCATTTGACCGTTAGTTGACCAATAAAATTAAACATTGACCAATTTTTGACCAATTGAAAAGGGTAAAAAGGTAAAAGTTACTTAACCCTATAATAAAACAATTAAAATAAATAACTAAAACATAAAAAAAATTACTATTCATCTTCTTCTTCACCCACCCCACCCCCACCCGCACGCCACCCTACCCCACCCAATCCAAAACCAAAAATAGAAATTAAACAGCCACCTTCTTCTTCAAAATTACTACATCTTCTTCTTCACCCACCCCACCCCCACCCGCACGCCACCCTACCCCACCCCATCCAAAACCAAAAATAGAAATTAAAAAGCCACCTTCTTCTTCAACCTTCCCACCCCATCGCACCCCACCCCATTGGCTCCTGCCCAGTTAGCAATTCAAGAATCACAACCCCAAATGCGTAAACGTCGGATTTCTGGTGATTGTCTTTTACTCCAAAAATCCTCATGAGTCTCCTCAAGTCGGAAAAGAACCCCATTTCAGCTCTCAACCTGTTTGATTCGGCGACTCACCACCCGAGTTACACCCACACTGACGCCATTTTGTACCACATCCTCCATCGCCTCTCCCTTTCGATCGATTCGAAACTCCTCCTTCATGTGACACGGATAGTTGATTTGATCCGAACACAGAAATGTCCCTTCTCAAAAGACACGGTCCTGGTTGTTATGAAAGCTTACTCGAAAAATTCAATGGTAGACAAAGCAATGGAACTCTTCCAAAAAATGAGGGAAATTTTCGGGTGTGAACCCGGGGTGAGGTCTTATAATACTCTGCTGAATGCATTTGTGGTTTCGAATCAGTTGAGTAAAGCAGAGTTGTTCTTTAGAAATTTTGAGACACTGGGTGTTGCACCAAATTTAGAAACTTCAGGGCCGCATGAAAGAAAAAGACAATCACCATTGTTGAGGGGAAGGGGACTCCGACAGCTGGTGCTACAATGGTCGGAGAGAGAAATGAATTGATGGGTCAAGTTGGCCGGAGATGTGGTGGCGACCGCCCATGGAATCGGGGTTGGGTGTGGTGGCATGGGGTGGGACGGGGTGGGGTGAAGATGAACAGTATTCCCTTTCTTTTCTTTGATTTTTATTTATTTTGTTTTTACTTTTCTATTGTTATTATTAATTATTTTAATTATTAATATTAAGAAAAAATGCAAAGTACCACTTTGCCCTTTTTAATTTGGTCCAAATTGGTCAAATTTTGACTTTTCTAGTCAACTAACGGTCAAACAGACGGTTTCCATCCATTTGGACTTGGGGTGCGGATTTTTGAAAGGTTTGGTACCTCCATTGGCACAAACTAAAGGTTTGGGCAAAGTCTGCTAATAAACGAAAGGTTTGGTACCTCGGCTGCAATTTTCCCTTCACTTTGTGAATAGCTCAATACTTGGTTAACTACGTAAACATACAGGATCGCTGACAAGTAATAATTTAGTGAGTTAATAATATCATCCTACATGGAATAAATACTAATTAAAATGTACTAGTCTTATATCGATTTCGGAATATGTAATGCAAAAGAGATTATGTTGTAATTATTCTAAATTATTCACTAAAATTATGTAAGAGTTTGGTTTTATAAACTTATATGGAATGATTTTATTGGAATTATAATCCATCTAATGTTATGTATCTTAATTTTCAATTATGTAATTCAGTTTTTTTCATACTTTCTTGATCATTGATAATCAAATTTTACTTAATTTTCTTTTTCAAGATAAGTTAAGCATATGTTAGATACGACAAGACCCGATTCTATTCCCAGTTCAATTTTATATAAATAGAATGCATTTAACTACAAGATTATTTATAAGATTGCACACACGAGCATTACATGTTATTCCTATCATCTATATGTTAATCATGAAGAGTTCTAAACTTATTGTGTACCTCATCGCACTATAGCAAGCAACTAATTATCTAATTCATGGCAAGCAATTAAATAATGCAACGAAAATACAAGATTAATCAAGAAAAAATAAAATTTACTAAATTACTCGCCTTGAATTAAACTAAACAGACAAAAAGCACTCATATTCGTCAATTCAAACAAATATCAAGCTTAGCATGATTCCTATTATATTACACGAATAATAATGAAAAATCATCATCTGGAATGAATATGGAGACAAGAAGTATGTAGAAGCAATTTCTTGCTCTTTATCTTCAACCATGAGTCTTTATTCTTCAAGATCATGATGTGAGAGTCCTTCAATTCTTACTAGGTCTGATCTTTTCTTCCGAAAGTGTGTGAATTGACCTCTTGTATTTGATGAATCTTGTAATATAATGTGTATTAAGAGGCTAGAAAAATGTCCGCATTATTTTGCTCGAATCCTATATTTATAGGAGCCAAATTTTAGGTTGAGATCGCATCCATTTAGTTCTAAAGAAGTTAAAAAGAGAAAAGCAAACTGCTGTTCACCTGCTAGAATATGCCCATGCAAACACATGGCAATTATGCACCTAATAAACACTACACCAAAAACCACTTTTGACAACAGGCAGAAAACGTTGCCGTAGACTTACGGCAACGTTCAGGCTTCTATTGTAAGATGAGACGTTGCCATAGAGTGAAGAGTTTCGGCAACCTGCAAGAGCACGTTACTGAAACCCAACTTCTGCAACATGCAAGAGCACGTTGCCGAAACCCGGTTTGGCAACGTGCAATGCACATTGCTGAAACCCCGCTTTGACAAGGTGCATTGCACGTTGCCGAAACTTGCAACGAAACCAAGTTTCAGCAACGTGCTCTTGCACGTTGCCGAAACTAGAGTTTGTCGTAAATGTCATTTTTATTTTTCTGATCAATTATTTTACATTTTTCCTGCCAATTAAACCTGTGAATTAAAAACATACTTTTACTATCTATGCACAAGTACTTTAAGCCAACAAAAAATTAAAAGTGCTTCATTTAAGCCAATAAACATGATCCGATATGCAATATTACTTCATCAAAACATAATAAATACTTCAATTCAAAAATATACACCATCTAACCAAAGAACTATGAAAAATGTCTAAAAGTTATGTAAACGATTCATAACCGAAGCTTCTAACAAGTCCCAGCCAAATCTTTTTACATAGACGAGATCCAAGATGATACAAGCACAAAAGAGATTTTCGAACTCACATCAGCTCCATGTAACTACAAGAAAAAAAGAATATAACAACAAATTAATCAAAAAGAGCAAGCAATTTAGAAACAATACAATGTCATTTAAATCTTTTTAAGACACAACTATATTCATTCTTTTTACATAACCAGTCTATACTCATTCAACGTATATAGCGGTAGATTTATGTCATTTAAAGAAAAAATTGAATCACACACTCAAGAATACAAGCTCATAATTAAAACTTGATTGATTTTTAAAAATAAGATCAATTTCTTTTTTAAGAGAAGCCATTGTGCACTCATTAGTAATGCCATGAACAAACTTCCACATTCAAGGTTGTAGACTTGTGTATGCACACATATATAGCCACTCTTGAAACATGTTTAATGACAAATACGTAAATGAAAAAAATGTAGAAATTTATAAAGTACCTTCGTCAAATAAGTCTAATGCAGCTCTTTGGCCAAGGCAATAGTACTTCCTATGGCGTCACTAAGAACTCGAAATTCTTCCGTTGGTCTATATAAGGGCAAATGACTCATGTACACCTCGTCAACCCAAACCTTCCAACAATCTCGTCCTAGTGGCATGTGATGCACATTTGTACTTGGGTCTATTGATGCAATCTTCCCTTCGCCTACAATTTCCTCCTCAACCAAGTACCAGTGCAATAGTTGACACTTTCCATTTTCCACTGGTGCAATACCTCCCTCCATACCACTTCCTTGTTGAGACTACAAATTCGCATTAAAATAAAGTCTATTTTTAAAACTAGTATGATATAATCTGAATTTATATTGAAAAAATAATATACAATACAAAAACCTGTGGAGTAAAAGCACGTGAACTCATATCCTCTACATTCTTATTTTGATTCTGCAAAATAATACAAAAAAATTAAACTTATTGAAATGTTAAGATATATTAAGTTCCGCTATCATATTCTATGTAATAGCAAAGTATAACTTGGGATATCTTCAGAAGTGCTTCAACCTTTTCTTCGAGTGCTTCCATCCTTACTGATTGAGTTTCTAATTTGCTCTCAAGGTCTCTCACTTTCTCACTGTTTTGTGTATTTCCATCTATTTTTGATGGTGTAACCCCAAGTCCAAGTCCCCTTACTCGTCCATGACGCTCGGGACCTAAAATTCGAGCAACAGCATCATCTCAAGTAGAATTTTCAGCTAGTGTATCAGAAATTGACTCGACACAATCTTTTATCTTCATCTGCACTTATGAAACTTAAATATTACACTAGATCTACACACACACTCTCTGGTGTGGGTGTGTGTGTGTGTGTGTGTGTGTGTATATATACAATACACGTACCAAAGTTTCAGCAACCACCTCATTTATTAGATTCCCATCCTTTCGAAGATGTCCATGAGTCCATACTGTCGTTCTCAATCCTGTTATATTTGGATTCTTTCTTTTCTACAATAACAATATTGAACTCAATCACAGACACGTATATGAAATCAATAAAGACACATATCAAAAATAAAGAAAGATAGTTCTTGTACCAAATCGTGAGCTATAACCCTTCCGACCCATAGTATGGAGAAGCTTCTGACTACTTCTTATTTTGCTGAACTTAGAACTTTTTTCCTGTCAAGGAAAACAATATAAACCAACAATAATTGACTACAAAGTTTAAAGTTCATACGAAAATATAACTTACTTGAAAATCAGTGGAAAGAGTATCTTCTACAAACTTCTCCCATGCTTCTTCTGAGGTTATATTCTTCGGTCTAAGAAGGGCAATAGCGCGTTTTCTATTCACGGCAGATGGTACTTGACGTTTGATATCTCTTCTCAATCTCGATTTGAATGTCCTCCAATATGTTCCCATACATTGAAATGCCATTTTTTGATGGCAGTCATTGACATTGAATCTTTGCTACAATTATCACAAATATAAAAAAGGTCGATATATGATCAAAAATGGAAATCAAGCTTTGAAGGAAAAATGTATAACCAATAACAAAAAAGTATCATATTAAATAAATGTACCTGTATAAAATTCCAAAGTTCAATTTTTTTACTGTCATCCACTGAAGGCCAATTTTTAAAAACAACTGGCACGTACTCCCGCACTATGGCTCCGGCTATGCTGACAAATTTATCAGAGTTATGGCCAACTACTTGCCCGAATTCATTGAATTCAAGCTCCATTTTCTGATAGTTATTTTTAGCAACCATTTTCAAATGAGTTGGACCTCTTTTCTTTTTTGTAGCATCTACGCTTGTCGAAGTCATGTTTTGATCACCAGTAATTGGAGTAGACATGGTATCTCTCTAGGTTCACAAGAAGGTCGCAGTCTTTTATTTATCTCCCGAATTGCAACAGCAATCACAGCGCTTCATCTTTTAGAACTCTTGGAAGCTTGCTTATTTGACTTAAACAATGCAACATGAAAACATAGCATAAAGTTAATTATTCTCGAAAGTTACCATCTTAAGAAGTGTATTGAAACACACTCACCTGAGCTTTATCCATCATGCGAATATTTAATATCACCTAGTTCCAAAAAGCAACTTGAGAAAGTACGAATCTGTAAACAATAAGAGAAAGAGAATGATATTCAAAGTTTTACTACTTGTAATTTAAACAGTTATATGTATAACGACATTTTCCAAACTAATCAATTTATATATCACATAATATGCCTTCAACATCTATCCTTGCAAAATTCTCATCCTCCTCATGAGTGTCTTCAATTTGTGTTACATCCAATGGAATAGTTGCCTCATAAGAAGTATCTTCTTCCATATGTAACGCGTGAAAGTCTCTTGGTGATGCTTGCAAAACAACATACCAATTAGATGTTTCATTCTCCCTAGAGTAAAAAACTTGTTTCGCCTGTGATACTAAAAAGTTCAAACATAACAATTATGGGAAGACCAAACTAGAGGTTGGAGAAGCTTAATATAAACTGTATTGATTCAATTGCTTCTATAATCTTAAGGACAAAACAGCAAATTAGAAATCATCACCTCCAGAAAAACTTATAAATGAACCAGTAGCCCATATTCAAATGTATAAACTCATGAAGTTCGCCAAACATTTTCATCAATTATTCACTAAGCCAATAAAACCCTAAACTAAAGCACATCTCGAATTGGCATACCTCACGATTTGAGGGTATAAATATGAAAACGTGCTCAAATCACACCCGCGTGAAGAAGCGCCGGTCCAAGTCGTAGAAAATGAAGACAGCAGGATGAAGAAATGGTTGTATTTGTCGATCGAACTTCTCCATGGTTTTCTTTCACTTCTATATATCCAGAGAGTACAGTAAGAAAGAGAGAAACCACAACTCTGGGGAAATTTCACAATTTCACAATGGTGAGAAAATGAAAGGAAGGAGAACTAATTTGTGAGTTTTTCTGAATTTCGCAAGAGGGTGGAAAGTAGGGCTGGCTGAGAAAAATACCAATTTCTTTTACCAATTTAAGATAATCATAACACAGCTTCTATGTGTGTGAGGTGGGAATGAGTATTGTGTGTGTGAGGTGAATGAAGGTTTGGATTATTTTGGTGGAGACGAGAGGAAGGGAGTATTGTGGGAAGGATGTAATGAGAGAAGATTGAGGTGGAGATGAGAGGAGAGGAGAGGAGAAGAAAAAATTAGGGATAATATATTTGATTTTTTGGACTTTTTCTTTTGGTTAACGTTTCGCAACGTCCAAAGAACGTTGCTATAAGTACCTTTTAGCAACGTTCTTATGCACGTTGCGAAAAGTCACTTTTGACAACGTTTTTACGTACGTTGCAAAAAGTGAAACTTTTCGCAGCATTTAACGAACGTTGCAAAAAGTGAGTTTTGGCAAAACATTTTGCGACGTTCACTGAACGTTGCGAAAAGTGGCATTAGCAACATGCATTAAGAAACGTTGCCAAAATTCTATTTTATTCACTAATGGCAACATTCACTTATGCGAATATTGTTGTAGACTCCTTTAATGAATGTTGCCTTTTTCATGTTGCAAAAGGCCATTTTTGTTGTAGTGAAATAATTCATCCTCGAGTATGGGAACTGGGAATCTCGGGCGCATTTATGTCTTTGATTAGTCATCAATACTTTTGTCATATCTTTCTCTTTCCATATCTATTTGAGGCGATTCGAAATGTGATGGAAAGCTAACTCAAAGGGATACAATAATTATGGAAGTATCATGTTTTCATTTCCATTGGTTACTATGTGAAAAAAGTGTCCCGGTCTGAGTATATGGAGTATCACTTGTACAACTAAAAGATGTAATTGGTGAAAAATATATTTTAATAATTCACTCCTAATTGCATCCAATTGATCATAGGTGATCTCCAATCATCATTTTGTCACCCAAGCCAACTATTGGATAATTGCAATTTTTTCCCTGAACTTTGAATTCTTCATTTTTCACCTTTTTTTTGCTCAAATGCTGATTTATACAAACAAGATTAATACAAAATAAGTTATAATTGATCAAAATCACTAATAAATACTCCAATTTAATAGACTAGATAAGTGTACAAAATCACTTATCACTTAGTAGCTTATAATGTGCTTGCATTTGGAGGCTTATTTATTCAAAGGACGCATTTGATGATCTTTACACATGCTTGTCCATGTAGCTGCAATTTGTTTTACTGCTCATTTTGAGGTGGACGTCTTCTATAAACTGCCACCCAACTCTAGCCCAATGCGGTTGCACCGTGCATCGGGAAACGATGATATTGGACATCACACACTTTATGTAAATCAAGCACTCAACTGGAGGTTTTGTGATCACTTTTTTGGAGTTGCATTGTTTTTCCGCCATTTATGGCGGGGTCCAAAGAATCAAGTATTTGAAGTTTTTAATGCAAAATTGAAACTTGATTGCCCAACTAATCATTGCATCCAGAAAGCAAGAAGTGATTGTATCTATTTTCTTCGTGGGGAGGTAGAAACAAAAGAATATGGTTGGCAATAAAATTCCCCAGTACTTTAATTCTTAAATTAAAATTTTTATATCTTTTGAATGTCATGTTAAAACCCTTATGAGTTACATAATTTATAATTGTGGAAATCAACTTAATCATATCGGTAATTCAAGCGGTCACCTAAGGTCCCTTATTCAAGGAAGGCCCTACAAAAATTTAAAGAAATTTCATATTTTCATATTTTATCTAGTTTTTACTAAATACGAATAAAATTCCAATATTCAAGACTCTTTTACTTCTCTACTTTTTCCTTGTTCTTGAAAACTCGAGATCATATATTTACAACTCATAATTAACAAACTCTTTATTATTACTACTTATATTTACAACTGCTTATCGAAGCAATTGTCAAAAAGCAATTTTTACCGATTTGTGTAAGCCTAATGCTACTATCATTTTCTTGGAAATCAATAATTATCATTTACTAGCCTCTTCATGTGTTCTAATTGAAAACTATTCAAGTGATTGAATGTGCTAAAGTTTTTCATCTTGGTTAGTAAAAATCATTTTCTTGTATCAACTTTAAGGGGATAAAAATTGACTTATATGAAAAGAGAGAACAATTTTCATTTCTGTAATTACCTAAATGCGTTATTGCAGAATTTCGATAATTTCAACTTTAAAGACTTTTTTGAGCAAGCGTTGGTTCATAGATTTTCTTTCATTTGAATTTCATGGATAATCGTGTTTGATAATTCTCGCTTATGCTAAATTTATGAGATTAAAAATAAAATGTGGTGATTTTACTATTTTAATTTTTCAATAGAATTTAGTTTTCTGAGTGTAGATCAAATCATCAAGTTATATATCTAGAGCCTTCTAAATATTCTCATGTGGAGGTTTTCGTAATTAGTGATATTATCAAATCTTGTCTACCATTATATTATTTGATCGAGTTCTACGAAACATGTGTTCATTATTATCCTATTTAATCAAAAAATGTAAAAATATTGAAAGTCTATATTTTACAAATTTTATAAACAACAAATTTTATGAAACTTTATATCTATTATCAATTTCTCCATGTCAAAACACCAAGAGTAATAATAAATGTGGAACGTACCTCAATCCATTGCTTTAAATCTTGAATATCGACTTGCAACCTTTTTAATGTTGACTTCTTGCTCACTACAATAAAAAAAGCCTTTTGCAACGTTCGAACGCATATTGCAAATCTCAATGTTGTCCTAGAATAGAAGGATACAGCAACTTTTTTGAATGCTGCTAATAATAATATTGCAATGTTTCTTGAATGTTAGAAATAACTTTTTTACAATATTTTTTTGGCATTCCTAATAACATTTTTTAATGCTACGAATAACTTTTTTGCAGCATTTTTTTAGTGTTGCTAATAACATTTTTGAAGCCTTTTTTTATCGTTGC